AAATTATTTCCTTCTTATTTATTCAAGTTTTAGATTTTAGTTACAATGGTTTCTTCCTGGGAAAACACTTCCTAACCTTTCTAACTAGATCAATTTGTCTCCTATATAACACTTAACCACATGTTTAATTTTACATTTATTTCTAGAATTAACTAGGATTAATTAGGTTGTAGGCTGAAATTTCTATGAAAGTAGGCTCCATATTTGTTTTCATTTAATATCAGATCCTTGACATCTGGCTTATTGCCTGACATAATATCTACTCCATAAATATATATGGAAGAAAATAGTGGACTTTGTTTAGTACACATAAAAGAGTGCAACTCATTTTCTACCTAACATTTCTTCATTTATTTGAAGAGAACCATCATGTTTCGCATTCCAACTTGGACCTTCTTCAGGAATAATGACCTTCAGTTATTCAGTCAATCTTTACATTAAATACTTTTGTGACCTCTTATAATCTTGATCATCCCTCCCTGAGTATGCCTTTCACTGTCTAGATAAAATATAGATAGGTGTGCCCAGAAATGAACCCAGTACTCTAGGTAACATTTTTTTTTTGTACATATGTCTCTCAACTTCCCTGTTCATTCAATTTTGTAGAGAACAGATTAACTCATAAAGTAGCCATCCTGCAACCATTATTAGACTAGCCACCCTAATCTGTTTCTGAGGCAACTTATTTAATTTTTTGGATATAATTCCCAATTTGGTTTAGTGTATAATACAATAGTTCTGTCTTATTCACTTTGCTCATTTTCAACTGTAGTGAACTTAGAATCGTAAATCCTATCATAGAGTATCTGAATGTAAAGATCTTTATTTGGATCACTTTGTTTCTGAGATGAGGAAATGGAATCCCTAGAAATCAAAATTATGTGCTGAAAGCTCTGAGAAACACCAGAGTTAGAACTGAAATACAGCTCCTCTGACTCCTAGCCTTGAAACAATTTAAAGATATACCAAAGATGATTAACTATTGGAATAAAATCTAGGAAGAGTTTTTTTTAACTATATCATTTTTTGTGTTACTTTGTACCTATTTTATACCCACTATTCAAGACTCTGTTTCATTATATCTGAGTTGGTAGTTGGCTATCAGCAGGAAGGGAAAAAAAAAACCATAGTGATTCTTTTAATCATACAATTTATGTGGCTAATGTATTAAACAACTAGTATTTGTTTCTATTTTTTTTTTTTTTTTACTTGTAGAAGAAGAGAAAGCATGAGTGGGGGAGAGGGGAAGAGAGAGAAAATCTTAATCAGGTTCCATGCTCAGCATGAGGAGCCTAATGTGGGACTCAATCCCACGACTCTGGGATCATCACCTGAGTTGAAATCAGTGGTCAGACACTCAACCTACTGAGCTGCCCAGATGCCCCAACAGTTAGTGTTTTAGTAAGCTGCTATTATAGTAGCTATTAAAATAATGATAATGGTGATGATACTAATAATTACATGCAAGAGAGAAAAGTCATTCAATACTAACATAAACATGAAGGATTTCTAATTTTTAAAAAGTTTGTGTAGCATTGTATGAGCATTTAGTAAAACTGTTTTTCCTTTAAGTTGGGATCCCTCTGTATTAGTACCCCCTTCGATTTCCAAGTGTTTTTTGTTGTTGTTGTTGTAGTTGTAGTTTTTGTTGTTTCTTTGATTAAGAGGAGTAAAACCTCCTCATTTTATTTCTGATCCTCCCAGCCGCCAATAGTGAGAATGTATGTCACACCACCCATATGTTCGTCTCCAGATGGCTAGCCTGCTTCTCTCAGTTCCCCCACCTGCCTGGGCCAAAGGCATGCTGTGCTCAGAACCCCATGGATAACATGGAAGATGCTGGTGCCTGCTGTTATCTGTGCACTCTCATGTCCACAGTTTCACAAGAGAACAAGAGAGGAAAGAAAGAAAGACAATGGTGAGGGGCGCAAAAAGAGAACTAAGGGAGGGGGAGGGACAGGAGGAAAGAAGAAAAGGAAAAAGGGGAAGGAAGGAGGAAAAGATTACAATTCAATAAGAAAATTGTAGATATCTTATGATAGCCCATTGTTATTTTGACAATTTAAGGAAATGAGTACTGTGTACTCAAATATAAAACCCATATCCTTTAAATATAGTTACATGAAACAAAATACAAATTCTTGTTCTGACATTAGAACTGGTGCTGTATTGAACTGGCCCTGGACATGAAATAAAAAGCTTCAAGTGGTTTTCTCCTATTTTCTAGGGAAGACAACCCATGCATTTGTGTGAAGTGTCTCATATACATTGCTCAGAAATAATGTCCAAGATATAAAACAACATGTTGCTGATATGTTTGAGTTGCAAGCCAAGCAGAAATTCAAGAATAAAAGAGAGATGACAAAAATCACAAAGGTGATTTCCTCTCTTATTTTTTAAATTTTTAAATGTTTTATTTATTTCTGAGAGAGAGTGAGAGAGAGAGCAGTGGAGGATCAGAGAGAGAGAGAGAGAGGGAGACACAGAATCCGAAGCAGGTTCCAGGTTCTGAGCTAGCTGTCAGCACAGAGCCCAATGCAGGGCTTGAACCCGTGAACAGTGAGATCATGACCTGAGCTGAAGCCAGACGCCCAAACAACTGATCCACCTGGGGCCCCTCCTCTCTTTTATTTTTATGTCCCCCATTTTTTACCCACTGCACCATCCTCAACCTACCTCAGAATCGCCTTTGATAGTCCAAGAGAACCATGCAGTAGTTAATCAAGGCCATGGTAAAAGCTGTCATAATGCCCCAAACTCTTTCTTTCTCAAGTAGAGTAGAGTAAAAGCCAAATGTTGTTATGTAGAGAAAAGCATAAAGAGGAGTAAAGAGGAAGAAGGGAAACTGGTTGGAAGACAATTGCAGTAAATCCAGGGGAGAGATAATGGAGGACTGGACTAGGGTAGTAATGTTGGAGCTGGGGAGATGTGGGTGCATACTTGATTATATTAAAGGTGAGACTTACAGAATTTCTTTATTAGTAGGACCTGTAATGAGCCAGCAAGAGATAAGTCAAGGTTAATTCACATGGACTTGGCCTGAATAACTGGACAAATGAAACTGCCCTTACTTGGGATGGGAAGGAGTGTAGATGTAGAAGACTTTGTTGCGTGAGGAGTGGGGACAGATTGGAAGTTCTATTTCAATATGTTGATTTTGAGTTCCTGGTGGGGATTTCCATTGGGCTATGGTTGGAACAAAAAGTCTGGACTGTTTTCATCATAGATATTATTTGAAGAAATTAGATAGGATAAGATCCCGCAGGGAATGGGTATCATAACAAGCAGTGAGGTGATGAAAGTATTGTTCAATGAATGAGACACTAATATTAAGAAATCAAGGAGGTAAAATGAAGCTACCAAAGGAGGTTGAAAAGGAGTAGTTGGTTACTGAAAAATAAAGAATAGATGGTATTCTGGAAGGCAAGTCAAAAGTTATTTCAGGGATGGCAGAGTGATAAGTAAGTTCAGAGATAAGTGGGAAGAACATACAATTAGACATAATACTAATAAAATGAATACAATTACTAATAACGAGAGTGGTTAAGCCCAATATTATTAACTATTAATAAATAAATCAATGTAAAATATAAAACTAAGATAAATGTTGCAAAAGAAAATGTGATATTTTATAACAATAGGGACAGCAGAAGACACAGGGTCAGGAATTTTTCTCCAAGGAAATGAGATAAAGGATGAAATATTTATACAATTGAGCTACTGAAGGTAGAATGGGGAGGGTTTGAAGTGTTACAATAGGAATAGATAGTGTTTTCGATGGCTCAGTATAGAAGAAAACACAGGAAGTTCAAGGACAAGGAGGGAAGGATCTGGCTTGAAGCATGTGTATGTATGCACACACATGTGCATGCATGTATACACACACACACACACACACAGAGTAAATGTGTGTGGCAACTTAGATACAGGATTATGTATGCGTATGAGATTTCTTGAGAATCGCCAAAGATGAGAAGTGCACACCATTGTATCAGTTAGGATGCTTTTGGCTGCAAGTAAGAAAATATCTGAATAAAAATGAGACTTAACGATTAGGGGTTTACTAATAAATCTCAAAAAGAAGTGCAGAGAGAGGTAATTCGAAAGAAGGTTTTAGTGACTTCATGATATCAGAGTTCCAGATCACTTCTATAGGGACCCTCTTAATCTCCCCTCCACAGCCACTAGACAGCTGCTGTGGCTCATAGTGGCAACTGCTACAGAAATTTCTAAGACAAGAAAGAAGCAAGGACTTTCTTCTCACATATTCATTCCTATCTATCAATTAATAAAATATTTCTCAGTGACCTTCAACCAAGTTCACTTCAGTGTACCTGACCAGAACTAGGATCACTGGCCCTTCCTAGCTGCCATGAGAGTTGGAAACACAAATTCAGATGATTTGAGATTCAAGTTTGTGATATGTTGGTAAATATTTAACAAATGGCTGTGGGGGGGGGCACATGTTTGTACCTTTATAAGGGTGTTATAAATTCCATTGCTAAAGGGAATATTGTAGCACAATATTTACAAATAATGATAGTATATGTAGTATTCTTGATAACTTTTGTATACCTGATTGATTTGTACAGAATATGTCCTTCAAGTATTTTCTAAACTTTGCATCTGTAGCTTTGTATCAAACTGTTTTTGCAGCTCAGGAGCATAGTTCAGCATGAATGTTATTTGATAATTTCATATGAGTTAATGAGTGATACAAAAATAAAGCAACAGTGAAGATGTATGTCAGAATTGTACCCATTATTAATGTGAGGGCATCTTTGCTAGATCTTGTGTGCGTGTGTGTGTGTGTGTGCGCACGTGTGCGTGTGCATGCACTTTTAAAAGCACTGTTGCTCTGTTACCTACTGGCAGGACTGGCTTGCATGGGGCTGTGGATGCTTTGGGCTCCAGGTATGCATAGGATGGGAGGAGAACATGAGGAGTGGGAAGGAAAGGAAGTGGTCTGCTCCAGGGCCAGGCCCAGGAGCCACTCAGATTCACTTCCACAAATGGGTAGACTTTGTAAATGAGTCATAGCAAGCTTTGACCATGCTGCCAGTAAGATTAAGAAATTTTTGGAAATCTAGCTGCCCATTAGAATTGAGGCCCAGTTTCTTCATCATGCGGTCAAGGATAGTAGTGTCCTTCTGGTTCTTTGTGAAGGCAAACAGTTCTGTGTCCATGAAGGTTAGAAGCTCTGCCTTGGAGAGCATGCTGTTGTTACCCTCCTTTCCAGCATACTTCTGGAAAATAGCAGTCAGAGACTCAGTGCACTGCTGAGTCTCGGCAGGGCTGGACATTTTCACCATATCTGCATGAAACAGGCACAGACGCTGTTACCCAGCGGTGGTGGCGCTTCTTTGCCAGATCGCTGAATACCAGAAAAATGGTTCATCAATATGTGGTTTTTTTTTCATAACGTGTGACATGCTTTTAGACTACATTATTAACATTTTTACATTACTCCTTTAAGTCTCGATAATTGGCAAAACAATGAATCATGTTTTGATTTGTAACATTTGCCAGTTTTGTTTGTTTGTTTGTTTTTTCGGGGGGTGGTGGTAGAAATACTGTCAACATAACCAGTTTCATGCTACCAACATGATGCCCCTGGATATAGAGTTGAGGTGTGCAGTGACATACATTCTGTAGGATTCCACTTTACACCCACAATAAATGTAAATAAACCCAAGATAATAGATAATAGTACTCAGTAGTAAGATAATTAGAAGTTTTGAGCTTTTACTATATTGTTTTTAATGAAATTAATTTAATTGTGAGTTTATGTAGTTTGATTTTTGATGTCTGTGTTTAATAATCAGTTTGTAAGATTCCTGGAAATTGAACATTTGGCTCTCACACCCCTCTTTGGATCAGGTCCACTAGCAAGACATAACATCAGCAAGGAAGGAGCAAAGGATACTGTTGGGTTTGCAGACTTTAAATATTTTAACTTAGTAAAGTACAACAATAGGAGTACTTTCACTCCTAACTATGTATAATAACTAGAGATCTGTTACTTAAATGGGCCCCTCCATATTTTTAGGTTCATTGAGATAAAAGACATCTTTGAATCTTTTTTTTTCCTCATCAACTTTTCCTACCACTTCCTTACTTCCATTGATTAAGAGCAAATATAATATTGACTTCCCACACAGACAAAATGTCAATGAAAGGGAAAATAACCTGGAGTCAATTGAATTCTCTTTTTAATGCCTCATTGATTTTAAGGCTCTTGGATAATGAATGGAATAAAAAAAATTAAAGTTGTCCTGAAAGGAGGTAATTCAGTCCAAGCTCCTTTATACACATGAAAATGGAGACACCTCATGTTTGAATATTCTGCCTCAAGTTACCAGGTAGTGACAAAGAAAAGATAAGAACTCTAGCTCCTGATTGGAAGGTCATGCCTTTTATATTGCTCTACACCAAACCTTAATTCCTGAACCATCTTTTGTCAGGGGAGTCTTTGATACATTCCTTGGGCATGAAAAGGACTGTCCTATCAATCAGGTCTCCATGCCTGGCCTATGAAATCCACCACGGGCACAAGCTCAGTGAAGTTCTGTTCCAGCTCATTGTGCTAGAAATAAACGGAGGTCTCACAGCAGCCATTATAGTCTAATTATATTTGACAGCCAACCTGACAAGTTTTGTTTATTTGTTTGTTTATTCCTTTAGTGCTTATGGCTTCAAAAAAATGAATCACACTGTCAAAACCATCTTACCCTTCAGGAGTTCTCTCTTTACTTCATTTAGAAGCTTACAAAAGCATCTATTTCTAACATGCCTGGTGAAAATAATAAAGCAAATGGTTTCACTGAGAAGTCTGTGTAAGAATGCATCATTTGTGTGACAGCCCGTGATGGTCAGCCACCTCTGATACACTGGTACACTGACTAAGGGTGTCAGAATCATGATCTCATATAGGAAAGCACATAGGAAGATTTTCATGTCTGAGAACAAATGAGTGGTGTGGGATTATTTTTAATCCTTTAAGGAGGGAGCAACAAATGTGTCTACAAAATTCAGGCAACACTAGACATAAAATTGCATAAGGTTCATTAATGGCACTATCACTAGTGGATGGTTAACAGATTACATTTGACCTTCCTGTGATTTATCTTTCTCCAGATCACTCACCTTTTTAGAAATACCAACAGCATGTACTCAAATGTGTTACGATAAATTGAAATTGACCACTTTAAAATAGAGTTGCTGGCTAAAGATCTCTACCTTTTTCCTGTCTAACTCTAATTTTACCAGTTTTGCTAAGACCATTGTTATATCCTAAATGGTTCAAAACAAAGTAATAAAAATTTGGAATAGTACTCTTGAGATCCAGTTCTGTATCAGCTGATTTAAATGATAATTTGATCCTACTTAAGTACAAAAAAAAAAAAAAAATCCAGGAAGGGGAAGATAGAATCTAATTGTGATAGCAGTCTGTGTGAGGAACAACTATGGTTGCCTGCAAGCTCTTCATGAGTCATTATGGGGACAAGACTACAGTGTGAGTGTGAACATTTTGAATCTTGCCTTCCTCTGAGCTTCTCCTAGCCCCACTCCAGCCCGGACTGGAGACTTCATGCCTGGAGTGCCATCAGCTTGAGCAATATGTTTTCATTTTCCATGTCTTTGATTAAGCTTCACCTGGATACCACTGCAACTCAGTGTTGAGAGTTTGGGCGCTATTGAATTTGCTCATTCATCATGTGCTTATAGTGTCATCTAAGTTATGTTTTTCTTACTCTCTGTTCTAATGTGGCTATGGGTAATTGGTGATATTGCTATTTTTGACAATGTAAAAAGTAGAGAAATACATTTTATACATGTTTCCTTTTATACACTATTATATATATAGCGATTCCCAGAACTAAAAGAGCTTAATGAAAGTAGACTGTACTGAGTTTAGCTCTAGGGAAGACATAAGTAAAATACATAAAAATTGAGTATACTTGGGTGAAAATCCCCAGGAAGACTTTGGAGACTTAGTAAATCACTAAGTGGTATAGTTGGGAAAAAAACAGAGAACTCAAGTTTATAGAACTCATATTCATGTGTGAGAAAAATGAAAAATTAGTGGGTACCTCCTAACTGGAATAAAATACTCATAAAAAGAATTGTTATACTTTAGTGATATTCAGTTTATTTTTGTGACTTTGTTAGTGGATGGAAATTGTGAGTTCACAGATTCTGGTCAGCTTTAGAAAAATATTTCTAACAGATGGAGATATTCAAAGATGGAATATGCTGCTTTATAATCAATACCCTCTTTCAAAAGCTGTCCAAATGGTACTGAAAAACAAATATATTAGCAAGTTTATAAACGGGTGTGATTTATTAGACATAGGGTTCCAATAAGTGGATTCTCTAAGATTTCTTTCAATTCAGAGAATCTATGATTCAATGGTACATCATTGCTGACTTCAACATTTATATCTCTAAACACCTGACTGTATGTAGTTTTATTAAGATGATGAAGAGTAGAATGCCGTGATCCTCATTTAGTTTTCTGTTAATTTGTAATCTCTCATCTAAAATACAGCAGATGACAAGTTTTGCTCAAGTACTATCCCTACCACATGTTAACATTAATCACTCAACCTAGAAGAATGAGTAGTGGCTATTTATAAACCTATACCTAATTTTTTAAATCTTAATTTTCCTATCTAGGTTTTCATATATTTAATTAGCTTATAGATGATTCATTTATTAAATCATAAAGCTTAGGTATTGATAGCATAGTCTTTACAAAGAAATGTTTAATAATGGAGAATAATGTTTAATCAAGGTGTTGAATGTGAAACCGACTGATAATTTGAAAGGTCAACAATAAAGGGCTGTCACCCATCATGATTTAATCAGTCACATTTTATTAAGAGCTACTCAAAAACAAGTGAGAACATTCACAAAAGGATTAGTTTCTAACATCTAAGCATGTATTCTAAGAACATCACTAGCCATAGTGTTCATGGCATTAATTACCTAGAAGTATGCCATTTTCTAAAGGAGCAACAAAGCTCCTTAAATATTAACATCACTAAGAATAGGCTGTAGAAATGTAAAGTCAAATGCAAGCCTCTATGGGGTACAAACTTCTTTATGAGAATGTCAACATGATAGATAAAAAGCCCCCTGAAAGACAGATATTATGTTATGCATTCTTCAAATGAAATAGATCATAAGTACATTATCACGCTTCGTTATCCTGAGGTAAAGCAATTAATATTCTTCTTTTCCAAATAGTGTTAACTGCCAAAGAAAACTTGTGAAGAGGCCCTTTAAGCCAAAATAAGTTTGTCATCCAAACCATTGTTTCAACCACCACAATGTCTATTCTGCCATTTCGCATGTTTCTGTAACTCAAATTAAAACATATATGCTTGATAAGTAGAGGGATGTCAGTATTATGCAAAATTTCATTAGTTCACATGCCATTTTCTCAAGCAAGACAAGTGTTAATAGCTAATAACTTTCAGCAGGAAGGGGAAAAAGCCTTCATTTCAGCTACTGTCTTAGCAGTGGGAGCCCTTCCAGAACATTCCATTTGAAATGTAAGCAGGCAGGGTTTCCAGACAGGCTCACCATCAGCTTCATTCAATTAGTAGCAAGTTGCACTTCCTTTTAAGTCGGCATTAACATCAGCCTTGCTGTCTGAGATCTGTATTATGTTTCTTAATAGAAACCTACCAGACCTCCTTAATTAAAGTGTTGTGCGTGTGTGTGCATGTTCACACGTGCACATGCATTACTAAAAAAAAAAAAAAATCTGTGGAAACATTTAGCTACACTAATCTACTTGCCTCAGCAGTCCAAGTTAACTCCACAGGTTATTGGTACTGTTTCTGTCTTTGATTCAGTTAAAAAAATTTACTTAAGATTTGCTTTTCCGGGGCACCTGGGTGGCTCAGTTGGTTAAGCGTCCGACTTCGGCTCAGGTCATGATCTCATGGTTCGTGGGTTCGAGCCCCACATCGGGCTCTGTGCCCACAGCTAGCTCAGAGCCTGGAGCCTGCTTTGGTTCTGTGTCTCCCTCTCTCTGACCCACCCTTGCTCATGCTCTCTCTCTCTCTCTCTCTCTCTCTCTCTCTCTCTCTCAGAAATAAATAAAAAATAAAAATAAAAAAAAAAGATTTGCTTTGCCACCTCCTGCTATTATGCAGAACATGAAGTCTTTTGGTAATACATATCATTATAGAGAACTACCTCTACTGTGATAGGCACAGGTGGTCTAGAATTGAGTAATGCATGGTCTATGCCTTCATGCGGCTCAGGGTTTAGTGAGAACATGTAAGCTACGAGTTCT